ATTTCCTTAGAAGTTGCGTGAATTGAATGACAAGTATATAAGTGAGCTTCAACAAACTTCAGTTTAGAAGTTAAATAAAAATTTGTCAGTGGGTCTTGCAAGCACTGAGTTAAGGTATGTAGAACTTTGAATATCAACAAATACTTAATGGTCAAGGATTAAAATAAATTTTTTTCTTTACCTTTTAACTATCATTTGCTTGCTCACTTGATCATTGTATGCTGTCAAAACTTATCTGAGAGATAAGAACTGACTTTAAAAGCTTGCAATTTTAATTAAAAGCCGTAAAATTGTAAGGAAATAGAACGAAAAGTACCTATATCAGCTCACAAAACCATAAGAACACAATCTAACTCTGCAGAATAGAATAAAATCAACTGTACTAATCTATATTCAGAAGACTTTGAAGAGACAAATTATATGTTAAAAAATATTTATATAAATTTTAAAAAAGACAACAAAAAATTATTTCTCCTACAAATCTCTATAGATGTATTCTCAAGTCACTGGCTTTAAACCAAAATTAAAGTGAAAAATTAAAGAATACTTTGTTAGTATTTTAAAATCAATTTATTTTTAAAAAAGCAGCGTCAAGTACCACTTCTTTCGTTAAGGTATCCGATAACTGTATATTTTGGACATTTGACATTAAAATATATTACACACCTTAGTAATAATTTTTTTTTAGAAGTTACTTTGCAATTAAGTTTATAATACGTAATTTAAATATTAAGGCTATCAAAAAACTTAGAATTTCACATTACTGATAAATTTCCAACCATTATTTATGTATTTATAACATATTCTAGGTTCTAAGTATGTCAGACTATGATATTACTAACATTGAACACGAGGCTCTCCTGTTAGTCATTACTTCAACCTTTGGTAATGGTGATCCTCCTGAAAACGGAGAGGTACATATTAATTATTATACATATTATACAGTTCTTATTTATGATGTACGTATTTTTTACAAATACTCATAATGTGAAAGCTACTTATAAGTATACGTACTACAAACGAACTTAAAGTATAATTAAAGAATTTGTTTTAGTCATCATTTACAAATTTTCGCTAAACAAATACAAAAAAAAAAAAAAATACATAACTTCTTGGCACATTTTATTTAAGGTAGTAAATAGTAAAAAAAAACAAGATACTTAAACTTCTTAAAATTTGAAATATATATTTGAACTATGTTTAAACTAACAATAAAATATCAGTTAGCTTAGCAGGGTTATTACGACAATAAAAGGCTTTAAAGTTGCACTACTTAACATAGTAAGTGGAAGCAAAATGCATAAAAAATGAGCATTTTATTTGATAAGAACATAATTATACAACTTAATTTTTTTAAAACTAGTATATTGTATCGTATTGCTATATAACGACTATCATAAAAAAACGGGAAAAATCGCTAGTTCCATGTAGAAGATGTAACTGTTTCAATACGTTTGTTCACGCTCTTCATATGTATACAGTAGCAGATAGTAATGACGTTGAAAGTGTTTTATTTTTCATTTAATGATATCATTATCGTTGTATGTACTTGTAAGATTTGTAACATCATTATTCAACAAACTTTAGTTACCAATAATATAATTTGATCACTGTTATTGTAAAACCAATTGATACTGGTGGTTTTTAACTTAAGAATTACCTTAAAAGACTTAAAAATCATAGTGTTCAGTAGTCAATAGTACCTATACCAAGAGCACTGTTAAAAAAGTAATTTTTTTTCATGGACAGTTAAAATCAGTGTCAAAGCTATTTAATACTAAAGACATATCAACTAGAATTATTTAGTCGACATTCAGGCTGACTTCTGATAAAATTGTCTCTCAATGGAGGCGTCACTAATACACCAGAGAGTGCGAAATTCTTGGCGATCAAAAGATTTTTAGCAGATAGGCTTATCGAGAATCACTTGGAATACAATGGCTGGAGTAGCATAGAAACGATGTGAGAGCTGGTAATAGTAGCATATTCTTAGGTAACAAGTTCAGTGTCTTATCTAGCCACTATGGTTTCTCCCACTATGTAGGGTGAGATCATAGTGTGTTTATATCTGATCTTTGAGTGATGTCTGTTAAATTTCATAAGTTTGGCACATAGCGCTAGTTACTTGGTAAAAGCAGGTTTAAGATGTGGATGACAACTATTTATGAGAGCATTATGCATTGATCCTTATAACTAAATTGAACTAATGACAACCTGCGAGTTGCACCAGATCCAATAGTAATATACTGGTACACTTAGATCATCACCAGTGGTCTTCAGCAATTGCTCACGATTCGAGCGGCTCAGAGCTTTCATCGTGGGATGATCATAAAAATTGTCAGTTGTGAAATTTTCTGAAGACTGTAAATAAGCATTGAGGCTAGAAAAATATGACAGCATAAGTAATAATAAGGCTTAGGAGACCTGAAATAAACGATGGTGGCCATCACCCGGTGGCAGGCATCACAGAAGGCATGCATCTAAAGCTTAGTGGTTGGACTGACTGCAATTAATCAAAACAGATTAAACCAAAAAAAATCGCTTAGCTACTCGATAAAGGTAGCTCCGTATCACAGCATTGACAATAAAAAGACCAAGTACCAGTCCAATCACGCTTGGCCAAGATCTTAAACAAGCAGTTTGCCATTCAAGAAAACTGGCTCAAGCTGGTTGCATAGGTCAAACAACTAAACGATAGCTGCAAGCGTTGTGTGCTACGTTGTTTGATGCTAAGTGTCTGGAAAAATAAAATAAAACTTAAACGAAAAAAATGGCACTTTCAGGTGAGGCAGCGTCAGAATGGAAGAGTTTGTAATGGATTTTACAGTTTGTAGTGCTCGCACGACTCGTAGACGTATTACGATGACTTGTTTACCCACATTTTATTTACTAGCTTTAAATAAAATAGAGAACTGTAGTTTGTAAGCCTGTACACATACACTGAGTGGTTGTATCATGGTACTTTGGCCGAAATAAAATGTTTGTACGTGCGAAATACACGAAAAGAAAAGCTCGGATAATCGAGAGGTAACAACTTCTAGCACGAATGTTGTGAGGATTTGGTAATTTTAGCCCTTCACTTCAAAAAGTGACCATTAATCAGCATTTTCTATCCAAAAAGTTACTCGTTTGAACTGATTTTTGTTAAAACGGTAATTATGGGGCAAATGCGCTAACAAAATGTATGCAGTTAAAACTCACTCATCTTTGTCCTTTTTTTTGTGACTGAGGGACAAATCTGATTCCCAACAGCTAGATTATGTAATTCTTACAAACCCAAGTGGTAAGTAAGTCTAATTTTTTATCGGTCAAAGCTTTTATAAGTAAAGTTGGGTTGCCGACGTAAATTCGAATAAAAAATTCGACTTCAAATGATCGATGATCTCAATAAAGATGTGATTGTATCCGTATGAAACAATATGTCAAGTCAAGTTGACAGCATTTCGCACAGTTTAACGTGTTTGAAGTTTTAGATCTCATTACAGCATGCAAAAACGAGTATCGGACATGAACTGAGCAAGTTACGGAAAAATCACCCATATATAAATATATATATACATTTTAGATAGGGCACTTTTTTGTAGTTACATGGAAAGCTTATCAGCCAATGCTGTTATGGAACAAGCTAGGGAAAATATACAAATAATATAATACATAAGTACATATTTATTTATAGGACAGTTTTCTGTAGTTACGTAAAAAGCTAGTCTATTTTGTATGAAAATAACATCCTTAGTCTTGCATCTTAATCAGGCAACATATAATTGAGCATGTAAGAACTATGGTTTTTAAAAAAGAAAGTTCTACCATATAAGATTTTTGACCTTGAGGTTTATATTTAATCAAAGTAAAAGCTAAGACTACGGGAAACTTCTTTCTGTATAGAATAAATAGTTAAAAACGTGTATTTCCAGTATTTGGAGTAATATTTAGGATAAAAATTATATGTCCTTTTTTTTACTAGTTATTATTTCTACCTTTATATTGAATTCTAACAAGTTCGTGATTCTAAATCTGGTGTAATAAAATGAACCATCTAATATACTTAAATTTCTTAGTAACAGAACGATTGCTTTAGTTTTTTAATAAGATCTTTAAGGTGGTATATAATTCATACGTATATATTTACATATAATTGTGGGATTGGTCAGCTCTCTTAAATTTTTTTTATTAATACTTTAATATATCATTGTTTAACATTTTATCTTATTTGAAACTTTATTATTTAATAAAAGTGTATAATTGTGGCGCCTTCGACTATCGTCAAGGCATACACAGGCGGTCGACGCAAGCAGCAGCTGAAGCCACGAGAGGTCTTCGCGCTGTGCACGCCGAGCGGCGCTGTCGCCGCCTTCTCTAGCCACCAAGCAGCTACCTAGTGTGGCGCGCGTCCAGCCCACACCAGTCCGAGCTCGACCCTCGCATGAGCCGCATTCGCGCACGCTCACGCTCGCAGCCTCCGCTGCCATCACAGCTCTCGACACTTCGCCGTACCATTTTGCCTTCTTTTCTTTGTATGCTAATAAAGCGCCATTTATTGAGTACGATCGAGTGAGCATCCTTGATCTCCTACCCTCGCCTTTAACTCCCTCGAGCTCCGGGACACGCTCAGCTGATCCCCACAGTGGTGACCCCGCCTGAAAAATTTTCGAGGTGAGCTAAACAATTGCGTGTTTTTTTTTCTTCGCCATCTTTCTTTTTTTTTTCGGCGAGCAAGGCGACTCATCTCGCTCGCGTGGCACGCCTTGCAGTGCGCGTGCTTTGTCCGGCCCACCGCCATTTTGAGCGAAAGCCCGCGCGCTTGCTCGCGTTCGTGGAACTCGGCCATTGTCAACTTGGGCAACGCTACGAGCCACGCACCAACGTGCCCGCACTCTCTCTCTCTCTCGCTCTCGTGGACCGTTTTAAACAAGACAAGGACAAAGACAGAGAGTGAGAGGTTGTGTGACAGTGCTGTGCAGTGCAGTTTTTTTACACTTGTCTCGCTGTCGGCACTCGCCATGGCCAACAACGACATTGGTGTAATTCCCCCCAACGACAATGGTGTAATTCCCCCCGGCGACAATCCTACTGGAGGCGCGAGCCCCACGGGTGACGACATTAACCCCGTGATGTTGGTCGCACCTCTTCGCCTCCCGCCTTTCTGGAAGGTCAACCCGACCGTGTGGTTTATCCGGATCGAGGCGGCCTTCAACAACCACAGGATCCGCGCAGACTCAAGCAAATTCGACTACGTCGTCGCTGCCTTGGATGATGCCACAGTGCAGGAAATCGCCGACGTCCTCATGGCACCTCCAGCTGAGGGTAAGTACGATTTCCTTAAGGCCGAAATTCTTAAGCGCATGACAGACACGGCCGATCAGCGTCTCCGCAAGCTGCTTACGCAGCTCAAGCTGGGCGACCAGAAGCCGTCACAGCCCCTGCGTCGCATGAAAGCTCTCGCGGGCACCGCGGTCGCCGACGATGCCATCAGGGTCCGGTGGTTCGACCTACTGCCGCCGTCCGTGGCACGCTCCCTCCGGGTCGTCAAATCAACCCCGCTGGATGAGCTGGCGTCTCTGGCCGACGAGCTGATCCAGGACTACCCGCACGTCGCCGCGGTTCACCCTCAAGCGACCAAGCCCCAGACGGCTGGTCAGTCTTCTGCGCCGACCGTGGAGTCCCTGGCCAAGGAGATGGCGTCGCTGCGTCAGTCAGCTCCTCAACATCGCTAAGCGACAACCGGGAGGCCAGCAACGTGGCCGTTCAACCACGCAGTCGCAAGGCGGCCCCCGAAGCAGGTCAAACACGCCAAACCGAGACCCCAACGACCCGTGGTGCTGGTACCATCGCACCCTGGGGAACAACGCTCGCAACTGCAGGCCACCCTGCAACTTCACCCCGTCGAACCAGGGAAACGAGTAGTGCTGCCTTCGTATCAGGTGGCGGAAGTCGGCGCTACTACCCCTGCAGAAAATCGCCTACATGTGTCCGACAAAACCTCAACGATAAGGTTTCTCGTCGACTCCGGGTCAGTCGTTTCTCTGCTCCCAGCTTCCCTGTTCAAGAAGCCACCAGCTCGTGCCTCTCTTACGCTCACCGCTGCTAACGCCTCGGCGATCTCCACGTACGGCACACACCGTGCCGAGGTCAACCTAGGCCTGCGTCGAGCCTTCGTCTGGTCCTTCATCGTCGCCGACGTCCAGACGGCCATTCTGGGAGCGGACTTCCTCACGCACTTCAGCCTGCTGATCGACCTCAAAGGAAAGCAGCTCCCACGAAAGCGACCCTACGACCGGGCTTTTCACCAAGGGTTCTGCGGCCCTTACAACCGGCCACAGCGTCTCGGTCGTCCAGCAGGTCGAGATTCCGGCAGGACTCCTTTGTCAACGCTACCAAGACCTCGTGCGGGAGTTCAATGACCTAACGCTGGTTGACGGATCGGCAGCAGACCTGCCCAATCTCCCAGTGCTTCACCGCATTCACACAAACGGCCCCCCAGTCTTCGAGCGCCCTCGGAGACTCATCGGCCCTCGTCTCGACGCCGCCAAGGACGAGTTTAGCCGTCTCATGGCCCAGGGCATCATCTGGCCCTCCTCCAGCCAGTGGGCAAGCCCGATCCACCTGGTTCCGAAGCCCGACGGTTCCTGGCGGGTCAGCGGCGATTACAGGCGACTGAACAGCTGCACGACGCCCGACCACTACTCACTCCCGATCGTCGAGGACCTTCTCCAGGAGCTGCAGGGATCGGTATTCTCAGTAATTGACTTAAAAAAAGCCTTTTACCAGATCCCTATCGCTAAAGAAGACATCCCGAAGACCGCAGGACGACTCCCTTTGGACTCTTCGAGTTCACTTGATCGTCTCTTGGTCAACGCAACGCCGCCCAGTCTCTCCAGAGGACTATGGACCATCTTCTCCGGGACCTGCCCTTTGCTAGGGCCTACCTGGACGATATCATCGTCACCTCCGAGGACAACGAATCGCACCTGGTGCACCTCCGTCGCCTCTTCGAGTCCCTGCGCTCCGCTGGGCTCCGCATCAACCCGGCCAAGTGAGTCTTGGGGCTCACCTATCTCGGCTGGACGGTATCCAATCATGGCTTCAAACCTCCGCCACTCAAGGTCAAGGCCATCAAAGAGTTTCCGCGCCCGCAGATCTCCACCGAGCTGCGTCGGAACATGGGACTCTTCAACTATTACCGCCGCTGTGTCCCTAGGGCAGCCAACATCTTAGCTCCACTCAACGACCTTCTCCAGGGCCTGCCGCCCAGGAAAAAGAAGGTTGAGTTGACCTGGACGCTAGATGCAGAAGCTGCGTTGGCTCGCAGTAAGCAAGCCATCGCTGATGCCACGACAACGACGTTCCAGCGACCCGACACCCCGCTGGCCCTTCGCACGGACGCTTCCGACACGGCAATCGGAGCAGTCCTCGAGCAGCAGGACTCCAAGGGCACATAAGCTCCCCTTGCTTACTTTTCTAGAAAGCTCGACAACACCGAGAAACGCTACAGCACCTACGATCAAGAGCTTCTAGCCATCTACGCAGCCTTGAAAAACCTGCAGCGAATCCTCGAAGGCAGGTCCTTCACGATCTTCACCGACCATAAGCCCTTGGTCTTCGCAGCGGCGCAGCGCTCAGACAAGGCCTCACCCAGGCAAGCCCGTCAGCTGGATTTCATACTCCAGTTCAACACGAGTCTAGTCCACGTGAAGGGCGACGATAACGTGGTGGCCGACGCTCTCTCACGCGTTGCCACCATCTCCATGCCTGCCCAACTCAGCGCGAAGATCATCGCCAAAGCACAGGCCGAGGACCATGAGGCCGAACATGTCTCTACTTCCTCGAGCCTGAACCTGCAGACCCTCTCGATCGACGACTGCTCCGTCCTCTGCGATACGTCCACGGGAGTCGTCCGGCCTTATCTCCCACGGGCTCTTCGACGCACAGCATTCGAGTTTCTCCATGGTCTCGCTCACCCGAGCGTAAGGGCCACGACCTGTCTTGTCGCTTCCAAGTATGTCTGGTCAGGCATGCGTAAGGAAGTTAGCCATTGGGCGCGCACATGCGAGCCCTGCCAGCGTTCCAAAATCCACCGGCACAACAGGTCCGCCCTAGGCTCCTTTGAGGTCCCCGAGGAGCGCTTCCAGCATCTCCATATCAACATCATCAAGCTGCCTCCGTGTCAGGGTTATAACTACTGCCTGACCATCATCGACCGGTTTACCCGATGGCCAGAAGCCATTCCCCTGCCCGACCAACAGGCATCAACCATCGCCAAGGCTCTCGTCGACAGGTGGGTTAGCCTCTACGGCACGCCACTTACGATAACAACGGACCAGGGCGCCCATTTCGAGTCCGCCCTGTTCTCGGAACTCACAAAGCTCCTCGGCGCCAAAAGGGTGTACACCACGCCATACCACCCGCAGTCCAACATCATGGTGAAACGGACCCACCGCACCATCAAGGCCGCCCTCATGTGCGACCCCGGGACCCCATGGCCTGACCGACTATCGTTGGTCCTTCTGGGGCTCCGAACCGCCTACAAGGAGGACCTGCAAGCCTCTCCGGCCGAGATGCTCTACGGCACTACGCTCAGAGTGCCCGGGGACTTCTTCGCTACGGAGAGCCAGCCCGTCGCAAACCCTGCCACCTTCGTAGAAGGTCTCCGCCGACTCGCCCAGTCCATCAAGGCTGCGCCGGCTTCGAGACACGCAGCGGAGAACGCCCCGTTCTTCTTCAAAGACTTGCGGACGTGCTCCCACGTTTTTAAGAGGGTTGACGCCATCCGCAAGCCCCTCCAGCCTCCGTACACGGGCCCTCACCGGGTCATTCGCCGGGTCGATGACAAGACCTACGTCATCAATGTCAACGGCTCTCATCGGACGGTCTTTACGGACGCCCTGAAGCCGGCTTACGTCGAGGCCACTGACTCTTCTCCCTTAGGGGACCAGCCGACCAATCCTCCCAACGCGCCTCCTGCGGACTCCTCGCCGGCACCAAAGCCCCCCGCGGCGACTCCTGAGACAGCCCCCAAAGACGCCCCTCCAAAGAAGCGGGAAGCTTACTGTGTCATGTAAGTATACCACTTTTCTTAGAGAAACTGTATATGGGGTTGAATATTGTTGAGCGTATAGCTTTTGTTTTTTAGTTTTCAGGGATCCTAAATGTTCTAATTTTTTCTTTTTCAATATAGAGTGAAAAGTTTTTAAAGTTATGGTTAATTCTAAGCATATTTATACTGTGTTTTAAGATATGTAAAAAATATTAACAAAATGAGCATCTGATTGTTTTTTTATTAATGATGCTTTTCTTTTCTTACAACTAGAAGTTTTTGGGAAAAATCTCCTCAAAAAATCCTAAGCTTATTTCTAAAATTTTTTTTTGCAGCACTAAGATCCCTTAATATTGTGTGATCTTTTATTAAAGCTTTCCTTAGTGTTATAGAAGATTATCTTAAATAATTAAATCAATTTCTCCTAATATTATTTATTAGATGATTAACAGTTGTAAAAGTGCACTTTTTATGTGACCTAAATCTAATGGCAAACGGCAAGTTTTATGATTTTTGTAAATGTGATTAAAGATATACTTGTGTTGAAAAGGTTTTATTATGAAAAAAAAAAAAAATCAAAAAATTAAAAGAATAAAAAGAGGAAATGAGCAATTATAAAATGGTGAAAATTTTAATATCTGTGTTACATATCTAAGACTATCCACACTTGAAAAAAAGAATAAGGTTGTTTTGAAATTACACAAATGTGCATTAGAAATAGCAACAACAATTATATCGATGAACAAAGGATAAAAATGAGATAAAACGGATTGAAGAGCTATTTATTATAACTACAGTGCTATTTTAAAAAAGCAGCTGGAGTCTGTCTGTGATTAGGAGACGGCATTCAAAATGATCCAAAAGTTTTATGGAATGTATCAACAGTGCTGCAGATAATATGTAAAAATTAATTAGAAAGACACTTTTAAAGAATAAGATCAGACTGTTAGTTATGTGATCGATAAAATGAGTATGTTGGGAATTAGAAATAGAGGATAAGGTGCTAGTGCAACTGTAAAATCGAATGCTTCCGTGTCGAAGTCAAAAGATCACGACAGAACAGAAAGCGCCTGTTACGGCTGTGGTAAAATCAGCCATTTCAAGAAAGACTGTCTAAGTATAAAAAATGCTGGCCATGGTGGTCGAGTACAGAGAGGCAGACGCCAACCATTTCGTGAGAAACAGCGTGCATTTAGAAGCTTCAAAAAGCAGATGCAGAGGCAAAGGCAAAGGCTCGAGTGTACAACGAGGCAAAGTCCACGCGTCACAATAGGAAACTTAGCAATAAGGTAACGGCTTACTTGAAGTATTTTAAGTGGAAGTACTTGAATCTACTACGATTTATAGTGAAACGCAAGGTAAGCGCATGGACTGGCTTTTAGATAGTGGTTGTACTGATCATGTGTTAAATCGAGATGATGCTTTCGTTAGTTTTATTAAATTGAAAAATTTGTAAATGTCAACAAAGAGCTGGTAGAACTACAAAAGCAAAGAAATAAAAGAAAATTTATTAAGTTCATAAAAAATTATGGATGAAAATAAAGTTGTTGCTCTAAATAATATGGCGAAAGTTTATTCCAGTGAGGGTGCGCTTTTAGCTATTACGTTGAAAATTGATAAATTGTACAAAATGTAAAGTGTAAGTTAAAATAATTATAATATTACTGTTAAGACTATGAGTAACAAGAATAATGATAAAATTATGTCAATTTCAAATATTCAAATTTTTTATGTAAAAATCAATAAGCAGAAGTTCTGCTGAACATAATAAGGAGTAATTATATGAAATGCGCTATTTGTATGGAAAATAAAATGCACGACATACCATTTTATAATAATAGACAAACAGCCAAGAAAATTTTTTAAATAGTTCAAACTAATCTGAATGGGCCTTATAATACTATAGGACTAAATAAGAAAAAATATTTTTTAAGTTTGGTTTTTTGACTATAGTCGTCAGTAAACTAGTAGAGTAACGAGATTACTTTATTGAACTAAAAGATCAAGTCTAGAAATATTTTGTGTCACGTATATGCTAAGTTAAGAACGTTACAGAAAAAAGAATCAAAAATTTAAGGTATGATAATGGTAAGGAATGTAAGAAAAGAAGAATTATATCGATATAGTAAAAGTAGAATCAGGAAGTATTATTGCAGATATTTTTTCGAAATCTCTTAGAAGGTTAAAATTTGAAAAGCTTAGAAGTATGTTTAGTTTAGTTAAATAAATAAGTTGTATTGGTATTAAAGTTAGTAGGTGTGTTAAGTATATTGTAGATTTTTCCCAACGTACATATGAGTATATGTATAAGAGATGGACTAAAGGCACCATCTCTGGCAAATTAAAAATGTTTTATATACGCAGACTCTTTGCGCTTGAACGTGGATGCAACAAAGATTTAGTCTGTCCATCGAAGCATGCGGTCATGCATGCAAGCAGCCATTTGTCGTTGGTTACATTGTACGTATCGTTATTAGAATTATTATCTCTCATTATTTAATTTTATTAACATTAACAAGGTATGTTTACTCATTTTCTGATCCATAAAATAAGTTTCTCATTATATTAATAATTTGAGTTAATACGCGAAATGCTTTAACGATGGTTTAAAGTATTTTTAACTTCTACAAAAAAAAAAATCTATGACAAAAAGNTTATTAACATTAACAAGGTATGTTTACTCATTTTCTGATCCATAAAATAAGTTTCTCATTATATTAATAATTTGAGTTAATACGCGAAATGCTTTAACGATGGTTTAAAGTATTTTTAACTTCTACAAAAAAAAAAATCTATGACAAAAAGGTTGTTTGAACAACTGTTGTCATCGACCGTGCCAGATAAGGAGGTTTCCAATTTAGATTTAACTTCAGTCCTACCAACGTTCTACAAGTAACATCGAATAACTAAGCTTAATACGTACGGACAATATATGGCTCAGTCACTCAGATCTTTTGTTACAGCTTTATCAATAACCTTTGAATCCTGTTAGCTATTACTTCATTTTTTAACTCAATGTATATTAACTAGTAGCATAAAAATTGTAAGCTTTTTTTCTTTATTCTTTTAAATTGTATTATACGAATGTACAATATTATATCATTTAAAAATTGTAAAAAAAATTACTGAAATTAGTAAAAGAAATAAAAAAAATTTTCTAACAAAAAGTTAATTAAATATAAATCAATGGGTACTAACTGTACTGTAGCTGTATCAGTACTTTTCACTTACAAAATAAATACATGAATGTAAAAAAACACTTTTACAGAAATCAACACTACAAAAGTAACTCATGATAATTTTTGAAAAAATTAAATGGTATAATTCGTTGCAACATGAATTAGTTTTAGTTTTGATTCTTTTAGCTTTTTTACAGCAAGGACTTTTTTCATAATAGCTTATTCTAACTTGAAGGCAGGTACTTACGATTTTTCTTCATCACCTGAGTCCATGTTTCAGTAGATCATCTGTAAGATTTAAAAAAAGTGTTATTTACTTAAATACTTTTCGAAGTAACTTCAATTAACTCTATTAATAAGCCTTTTTTCCGTTCGCAATAAAATTAAAAAACCTTATTCGCTATTCTGCAAACTGTTGAGTCTTATAGATGGTATTATTGGACCAGCAGTATGCTTTTTTGTGTCAAATCTCAATGATTTTTCTCTTAAAAAGAGTTTAAGGGCACTCATAGGATTACATTACTTTTAGTGACGTTTGTTTAAGAACAAAATCAACAAAGTGACTTGCGACATTGCCTATATATTTTTTATTTTTTTATTTATCCTTAAAAAGTAGTGATTGAAAGTTAAGAATTAAAGTGACTCATTCACTGTTTCAAATTGTGAAATTTATAATTTTAGCATTGTAACGTGTATTGCAGTTCTCAATATGTTGAATTTGTTTATTATCTCGACTTAAGCAACTAGCATAAAGTGACTCTTTGATGGCTTCATGAACGATTAGTTTTAATATGTCAAATCATTTCTACATGCTCCTATAATTCTACGTGTTAAAAATATTTTCTAGGTGATTTTTAGAAAGTTTGTGGGTCAATAACAACTTACTATTTTTGTCAAAATGTTTATCGAAAAAACTAATGACATTGAAGAGTAATATTACAACCCCGCAAAATTATTTTTTTTTTCTCAAATGATTAAGAAGCTTTCTATTTGCTTATGCAAGATTTTTTTGATTATAAAAAATACTTTTCTCATATCTTAATACTTAATCATTATCCTCTTTAGAAATAAAATCTTTCGACTCTTTTTTTTATATCTAATTTTTTAGTTTAAAATGTCAAAACCATCTTTAATAATTAAACAATACTTGAAGTTCTTAACACATTTTAAAAATTAGAAATTTTCTTATTAAAAGATAAATATAGTAAAGCAGCTAAGACGTTTTTACTGAGGGTTTGGGCAGTAAGTCTCACATTTATCTCGTTTTGTGTGTAATCAACCTGTGTTTTGAAAATTTTCATACTTGCATGTCCTCCTTGGATATCATGAAATTTCACGAACTTTTTTAACAAATTTCTCATATACAACCTTACCACACATATGAAACGTAGCTAGGTAATTTCTTATGCATTTGAGAACATGATAGCCGTTGAACAAAATATATATTTGTTCTTCAGATGTTGAAGGCTTGAAAGAAAGTTCCTCACTACCTTTGGCATTAATAGAGGCACCTAGCAATAGGCACATAACGGCATTGCTTTGTCACTTATTGAAAATTACTTGAGCTATTTTTTAATCAAGTAAATCTAGTGCCAACAAATTCTTAAGAATGAGTTTGGATTTTTTAAGAACGATAAGCAAGTTAACAAAATTTTACGGAATTGGGAGAATCCCATCCCTATTCACAGCAATTTGACAGTTTTTGGACTATGGTATTATATCAAATTAAATTTCTCTACCAACATCTATACAACCATACTTTTTTCCATATAAAAAAACAATTCCTCGTTACTTTCATCATGTACACCACACAATTACAAAATACACGCTTCTCCACTTTCT